TTTGTGGAAATGATAATGAAGCAAACACAGCCAAATAGAGTAATAGAGCACAGCACAGTCAGTATTGTTGGTCATCATGATGATTCATTTGATCCTGATGGTCACAGAAATGCCCGTGTACTGTAGATGATCCTAAAGCTCTAATAAGCAATCCATGGGGAAAAAGAAAGCTGATCCTGATGAGGATTGGGTCTGAGAGAGAATGGGGTGCTCTCTCCAAAGTGTCTCAAGCACTTGTGCATCCTGCTGTTTGTCTGTTTTTCTGTTTGCTAGAAGGATATTACTGCAGAGTTAGAAAGGGAGCTGATACGCCCCGGTGGATGTATGGTGAGAACGAGCTTTTAATCCATGCTGTGGCATCTATTCTCCACAACTCAGAGAGGTGGCTGATATCTGCTACTCTGAAAGGTAGCAAACGACCTTCAAGAGAAACAGAGGGAGAGGCGTTGCGTAACGTGTCAACTTGATGACTTTACCTTAAAAAAAATTAGAATAAAAAACAGTCTAGAGGGGAGAGAGGAAATAAATCATCAGAAAAGGCGTTGCATCAGGGAAAGGCCACCTTTTCACATTGTCCTTCTCCTTTTTAATCCATATTTCATAACATAGCATCTCATCTGTGGTGTGCTTCACCCACACGCAGCCTTCACGCTGAACCATTTCCTGCATCTTGGCTTTAAGAGCTTTGAGTCATTATGTTCGTAAATCAGTCATTCACCAGACAATGCTATAAACGTAGCTGTGAACACAGTGTATTTACTGTTGCCAAGAATGCCACTCGACAAGCTCATTTTCTGTACGTGCAGTCACTTTCATGTAGCTTGCTGAATGCACAGTGCTGTTCTCTTATCAGTCCATCAGCAGGGAAGATGGATGACACAGCACGTGAGAGGAACATGCACAACATGGCCCAAAAGCCTCAGCTAGTCGGGTGAACTAGCATAGACCCTGATGACCCAGTACAGTGTGATTTCACTGGATGACAAGGACAGAAATGGCCTAGAACATTTTTAATGGATTTCAAGACCTAACTACACCCCCATCGAAAAAAAGGGGAAGACATACAAAAGTAAATAAATAAATAATAATGGTGATCTCTGTGATCTATGTAAACTAGTGGAGTGTATTAGGGTTGAGATGTGAGCAAGCTTTGCCATTTTCTGAGCTGAGACACAGAAGCTAATCCTCTCAGAGAAAGAGAAGGGAAGCTAACCCTGATGCAGCCCAAACCCTTTTCCAGTTTGTCATTCTACACTTCAAAGCATACATGATGAAATCCCCCAAGGTATTATAAGAGCTCTGGCATAGCAGCCATCCTCAACCCTGTCCTAGCCTAATGCCTCATAAATGGAGTCTGGAAACATGTCCCTTTACTATTTCGAAAGTCTTTGTAGCCTTGGATCTTTAAGAACCTTTTAGAGTTGCAGAGGAAGAGGTGCTTTCCAACTGAAGGAGATATGAGGCGTTTGTGAATCATTATGCAGCCAAGGGATTCCTGTCCCCTCACTGTAAAATACTGCACATACAGTATGCATGTTCACCTCTTTCAGAATGGTTAGATTAGGACAGGAACTAGGCATTGATCTTCTTCAGAGCTTTGCTGAATGAGCGGTTATACAGAAATACAGTGCACAAGAAAATAAATGTGTCCTAGATAGAGACAGGCACGTAATTTAAGCCATTCAGTTCCCAATGCACTATGTGACGCCATTGCATGCCAGTTGTTATACAGCTTGCTGAGCTGTCAGGTTATTGGGTTTCATAAATACATCCATTATTGGTCTCCAGGCTTCAGGGTAGCAAAGCTTGCTAAACAAAACTAAAGAAATGGCTGATAACACTCTGTAAGGCTCATAGTCACACAGGGGGATGGAAAGGGGAACGGTGGATGTAGTCCTGCATAGCTCCAGATACCACATACTGTAACTACAAACAAATGTCATTACAAACAACTTTGTTCTATGCAAAAAAGTAAATATCATTCTTAAATGTATCTGCTACTTTGGGAACAGTGAGTTGACACACAAGATGCAAGGCCAAGTGTCAATAGCTATGACTACTATCTAACCATTACGTCCACATTATGTCTATAAAATGTCAGAAAATAATGAAAAATGACTATCAGCAATTACCAGAGCCAAAAAGTGACATCTTCAAATTACTTGTTTTGTTCCAAAACATCCCAAAAACCCAAAGTACAAAATTTGCTTTATATAAAGCAGTAAATACTCACATCAAGACTGAACTAGCTAAAATGGGGCAAATCACTTAAATGTTTCATCCATCTGTTGTGTGTCAGACACATAACAGATACATCTGAATTAATGTTTTAGCACTGTTTTTTTTTTTAGCCACAGTGATGTATGCCATCATAACATCAGTGCACTTAGGAACAAGGCAATGTAAAAGTGTGATTTCAGATTTCTGTATAAGATTTCAGTCAAATAAATATAATTAATGTATTAATAATAATTAAAGGCATCAATCCTGTTCAAAGCTACATCATGTACTAACATGCTACAGAACTTGTGTTAAAAAGAAAATGGCCTTAATTGTTCCATTTAACAGCTGATTCTCCTGTATAGAAATCTGGCTCAGCTGTTAGCCTTTTTGCTATAGCATCACCTATTAATCCTTTAACCCAACCACCTCATACCCTCCCTTTGGGCCAACTGCCAAACCTGCTCTGTTTCATCTTTCAAAATGGCAGAGAGGGCAGTGAAACGGAGCGTGCACCGACTCTTTAAACAACAACGACCATCAGAATGTGGTTTGTCTATTAACCAAGATAGCACCTGATTCTGTGTGTGTGTGAGGGAAAGAGTGAGAGTGAGAGAGAGAGAGAGAGAGAGAGAGAAAGAGAGAGAGAGAGAGAGAGGGAGAAAATGAAAGAGATAAATTGAGAGGAGTCCGTCTGCCCCCGCTGTTCTCACTCAGTAGACTTGTGATAAGGTTTATCTCCGGTGCCTAACGAGTTCGCCCAGTAGCCCAGTCCGGCTCCTACTGAGTGGACCGGGGCGCACGGAGCTGCACACAGCCAGCAGTGGGTTGAGCTCCCTTAGGTGACCTGTGCGTGTTGTTCATGCTACGCTGCTTTAGAACTTTATTTTCTGTAGGAAATGGCTTCGGCCCCTTCGGCCACATCTCTTTTAATCTGGGATTTCTTTTTTTGCCTCCTTTTCTTCATCCTTTCTACTCACTGTAACTCAGACTGCCAAGAGAAGCTGCAAGAGCTGGAGAAAGAGATGCTGCGGAGCTTTGGCACAGAGAGGCGTGTGTGTCCCAGAGGCAGTGGCTGAGGCAAAGATGGAGACACAGAGAGGGAGAGGGGGGCTGCTGCTGAGTTAAGCCCCTAATCACAGTCTGCTCTGCATGAAGGACTTAAAGTCACTCCATTTAATGCTACCTTCTCTTTAGTCAAAAAAGGGAAAGAAATACTACTGCTTACCTCTTCAGCTTTCTGATATCTAGGCCCCCACTCCTATCACACCCATTCACGTGATGCATTTAAGTACACAGCTAAAGTATACAGTCAAATAGATACAGAGAAACATGCAACTCAAGCACATACATAGAGACACAGAAACATACATGAGTATATATTTGCACACACAGCAAAGCGAGCATAAGTGTTTCCCTTTCCCTTTCATTAGCCTGACCATGAGCGACCATTACAGGCCTTCACAGCAACGACGTGCAAAAACGTATGTAAATTTGCTAGTTCTCAAAAAATAAAGCCATGTGAAACAATTTCATGCTAAACCTCATCTGTGACTGACATGGCCGCCGTGCCCTTCACTGGCATGCTCAGGTGCCTCATTTGTTTGTGCGCGAAGTGGAGAATATGAGCAAATCCTCCGAGACCACTGGGTCCCACTGGCTCATAATATATTAATTGATTCGGCTTCTCTTCCAGCCAGGTGTAACACATTTTTACAGAATACTCTGGAACGTCAGCAAGATCTTTCGGGAAATTCCCCCTCCCGTGTCAAAGCTACACTTTCCTCACCTCCAGCTGCTGTTTCGCACCACCTTCCTGTCTTGTCCACATGGCTAGCAGACTATGGCGTGGCGTATAGATCTTAATCTAATGTTGAAACATTGATTTATGCTTGGGTTTCCCACAGCCATTAAGATAATTGCATGATCACTTTATAACATCCTTCCCTGGTGGCCATGGTAATTTGGCTCCCACCACCACCCACCTCAGAAAGACCTGTAACCACATTATGGCGATAGAAAATGTGGTTGGAAATATCATCTTTCAGCCCTTGCAAATTGATTTCAAACCATTTCCTCTGACTTCTAAACCCTTTTAGTCTATCTCTTACCTGTGCTGACCATTTGATCTATTGGAGGCTTCTAGGTCTTAACAGCTTGTATTGATCCATATTCTTCAGCCAGCATCTTGAGGGGATGCTCTCGTGTCACCTTGTAATTCCAATAGTCTAGGTATTTTTGAGTGAGATCATCAGTGAGACAATGTATTCTTAGCTGTTAGGGCAAGGCATGTGCACTTTGATTGCACTCAATGGGAAAAATGGCGGTGTTAATTGGCACTATGATCTCTGTGGACAAACTCTTTATTAAAATTTTCATATTACTATGGGCTAATAGCCGCATAAGAGGAGAAGTTAGTGTCAGTGAAAGTCAAATTGCTTTCATAGACTGATTCTAAGAGAGGTACTTCCTGAGTAAAAACTGCCACTGTCAGTTTAGAAACACTGAACACACAAGCTCAGAAAGACGCAGTGATTTGAAACTTCAAACTGAGAGCAACCGCCACGTGATTCATCTGAAAATGGCATCTATTCCCTCAATTATGCTTCAGATTTCATTAAGACACAAATATGAAAAAACTGATTTTTTTTTTTCCTTTTAAAACATGCATACTGCATGAGAGTTAATCTGATTCAGACCTTTTGAAACTCGAGAACATATAGTAAGCCTGTGCTCTTCAAGAGATGATCGTTATCTTGTAAAGGTGTCGGCGGATTTACCTTTCTCTCTGGTGACTTCATAGCGAAGACAGGCATGTGACAGGAAAGCAGCGGACACCAAAGCGGGGCCATCGTTTTCCCGTCATCCTCTCCACATAACCAACCTGGTGAATTCTCCTCTCCTGAAGTAGCAAAAAAAAAAACAGTGACTTTTTCATTTCTTCTCACAAAGGCGGTACTAACTTTATGTTGTTGCAGTTTACCAGCTTGTTTTATTGACACTTATTGGGACCATGAATCTCACACTCACAGTTCAGCCAAACTGTAAATTCCTTCAAGATGTCAAAACCATGCAAAATAATCAGAGAGACATTTCAGGCACGTAATATGAATGGTGTTATTAGCATGTGAATGTTATAATCAGCCAGAGGCCTATTCCCTGTTGTAGGAGGCGAGGCCAGGTACTTCCAACACAGGGCCTCAACAGTGATTAAACCTGCACTTAATCAACAGTGAGAGTCAGTCCCTGCAGGAAAAATGCAACTGCTGGATTTGAGTTATAATAATGGATCTGCCTGGTGTGTGCGCCATCTCAGCGCTCATAGCTCTGAGCCTTACAACAGGTGCACCCCTGACAAGGCAACGAGCAAATCTGCCAAAGTATTCCCATTATGTAATTTTGTCATCATCAATTTCAATTTACAGAAACCAAATTGTGCATGAAATTCAACAGCTTGCTAAAATTTGCTTCCTGGTTTGTTTGCATACCTAACCATGGAATAAGCTACTCTCTACCTGTAGTGTGAAGGCACCACAGAACCATTAGACCTATCTGCATTAGTTTATTACAGAGTTTGTTTTATAGCAACGTTGTTCACTCTTTTTGTGGCTTATAGGTATGGGCTGTGCCTATGGGCTTGCACTGATAGGTCGTAAGATTAGTTTCATATATCAATTTTGGCCACACAGATACCAAACTGCAATGGTGTTCAGACTGGCATCGACTAGCACCTTACTCTTTTAACAACTGCTACGAAAATGACTGAATCAACATAAATGTATCCTGAGTCTCCCAAGCTGTCAGTTTGCAAACAGGGGATCACAATGGAGCGATATTCAAAGCCTGAATACGTTTGAATAAAGACAAAATATGTTCATACAGAACAAGACGCTACAGGAATGATTAAGGACAGGAGTGAACAGCATTGGATAAGTGTGTTGTGTCTTTTCATACCTTTCAATGACTTTTATCTTGTTTGTTTGGTCTTGTTTTTTTTCATATTTCCTTGAATCTTTTGAGCAGCATTGTATTCTCAAAACATCATGTAAATAAAAGAAATCAGGATATATGAAATGAAAAAGCTTAACCTTGCACTGTGTTCTATATTATATAGTACTGATTTAATATTACTTTGTCCAACCCCTGCACTTTAAAGCAAATTACAAATGTCAAATTATGTGTTTGTATCCATAATAAAAATGTTTAGTTTATCTTTTCATAATGCAATGAGGAATACAATTCATCCATTCAACTACTTCACCTCTTGCACAACATAGTGAATAAAACAGTCCTGCTATGAACGAGGATACTGTGAAGAATGGAGTATAATTTAAGGTTTTAAATCATTCATTCATTTATATTTACAGTCATCTAGAGTTGTGGAGTGTTCTTTAATATTTAATTTTGCTGGGTGGGGGGAGATTGCCCTGTGGACTGACTATCCCTCAGTCATCCGGTGCCAGGATACAGGGAGGTGTGAGGTCACGTATTAAAAGACTTTAATTGAGGCCAGATTGCTGCAGGTGGGGCAGGAGGTCCAGTGGTTTCCTTTACCCCAGAGTAATCATCAACTTTCTTCACTTAATCATTTGATTAGCATAAATAATGTTTCGTTTGGGTATACTGACTTCTCGTACTTTAACAGAAATTAATGTGGTTATCAGTTTAAGGGAGAGACAGATGCAGAGGAAGATAAAGAAGGAGACAGAAAGACACTGGGACAGACGGAGAAAATGGTCATGAGGGGACACAAATTAGCCTTAACCTTCAGTCCTTGCCACGTAGTAATGATGATGAATAACGATGAACAAATGATAAGCGCAGGCCTAAATTGAAAACGGCATCAAATAGGGACACGAAGGCCACTCACCTCAACGCACACACAACACACAACTATACACACAGTTACACTGAATGCATGGATTTGTTTGCATCATTTGGACTTCAAAACACAGGCTCTCTTTTCCTTAAAGTCACAACATGTAAATTACAACTTCAATACATCAATACATTAAGATACAATACATTCTTTGATTTTGATAGTGTAGTAGAGTGACTGTAGGAAAATGAAGATCTCACTGAGAAAATTGTGTTCTGTATGTTTTTGTACTGTGTGATTATTCTGTGTTTTCCCTGGTACAGTGCACTGTGAATTGTGATTCATTCACATCATGTTGAATTTTCCAGAAATAGGACTTAGAGACGAGGGAAAAAAGGGATTCATGTCAGCCTCCTAATGGTAATTATAAGTAGGGGCCTCGTACATGCGACTCACTGCGGCTTCCAATATATACCAATTAGTGTCATATTGCTGTAGTGTGTTGACACAGGCAGCAAACTGCAGCAAAGTCTCTAAAGCCAGCAGTCTGATATAATAAGAATCAAAACAGTTATATTACTACTCATACAACAAACTGGTGATTTTGCATGTGGTTGGTCAATTAGTTAAATAAAAAAGCTTGGAATGGGTGCGTAACATTAGGACTCAGTCCTTACCACAGCGGCCTGGGTTCGAATCCGACCCGCGGCCCTTTGCTGCATGTCATCCCCTCTCTCACTGCTACTCTAATAAAGGCATAAAAAAAAAAGAAAAAGAAAAAAAAAAAAGAGCCACGGGCTTTGTCTGTCACAAACAGCGATAACTCACACAGACACTCACAACCACACAGAATGTCTAATGTACAAAAAATACTGTAGTACTCATTGTCTGCAGTGTATATGTTCTAATTTCATTTATGAGCACTTGTGTCTATACAAAATTACTCAGTATGATTATTTAAACAATAAAAACTGAAAAACAAGTTCATACATTGGATGGATAAACAGATAAAATGTAAATGTTGGTAAATCATTAAAGCTTCATGACAAATGAGCAAGGAAAAAAAAAAAAAAAAAAAAATCATTTTGGGACATATGGAGAAACTACTGCATAAGTAGCCTTTGTAAAAATTAAATTAATTTCCCCGAAAACAGATCAACAATACACCATACGGATTAAATATTCTCTGCATCCTCATAAATAAATTACAGAATATTCAAAGCATTTGACAACCATTTAGTACTAGGGTCCGTTCTTAAAACTACTTCACACTAATGTCAGAGTCTATACTAAAGATCAAAATGATAAATCAATTAGCTGATTAATTAAGAGGTCGATCGCAGAAAAAACTTTTTTTAATTCTAAAATAGTGAAGAAATAACGTTCTCTGGTTTCAGCTTCTCAATCTAGAATCTTTGCTGCTTTTCTTTGTTTTCTTTCAATGTAAACTCAATATGGGATTTAAACTTGTGATTGAACAAAACAAAAGACATCCCCTTACACAGTACAACTGGAAAACTCTGATGGGTATTTTTTGCTATTTTTTGATTTTTCATAGACTAAACGAATGAATAAACGAATAATTGATATTAAAATTAATAATTAGTTGCAGCCCTAGTCTACAGTATACCATAATTAAAGCAATATATAATGAAAAATAATGCTGTGTTAAAACCGACGATAAACAAAAGGCAAATCAGAGGCCTAAAGCAAAGATCCATCAAACATTTATATCAATTTGAAGTTGTCACAAAAACTGGAGTCATGTACATCACCTGGGCTCACTAAAGACAAGGATACAACCTTGTCCTACTGTATGAGGCAAGGATTAGCTTGATATTTTTCTCAGAGTTTTATTATAATATTTTTTGAAGAATAAGACAATATGTAGAATAAAAGTTTCCGTTTCCAACTTTACAACAGAAGCAGAGTGGATTATCATGGAACTACATTGGTTGCACACGAGTTAAGCCATGACTACCAGCTCAGTCACATTTTTGCAGTGACACACTATTCTCTGAAGCAAAACAGCTGTAGTGCATCGATCTGGAAATATCAATAGCAAAACAAGAAGGGAGTAACTATGATTCAGAAAAGATCCAGGAGTCAGAAATGTTGCTGTCATTTCACTGTTTGAGAACAAACGCTCTTACACACCACGAGCTTGGCTTCACTACTAGATCAGCTGGGCAGTTTGACACTGCAATTAGTAGCCTGACTGAAAAGACATGCATGCTGAGGCACAGATTAAATCAAACTTGCCTGGATGGAACAGATGTGCACCGTTCTCTAAAAACATGCTCAGCTAACTCTTCTTTTGCAAAGTTCAAAGGGAGGAGAGGGGTGGGCTTTTACAAGTCAGGCTACCATTTATTTGGGCAGAGAGTATACTAATCATCTCAGGATAAACCTATAAAAAGGGTCAATTACAGAGCCTTGCTGATGCTCAAAGAACTGGAGTTACATCCATTTATAACTTCTACACTTTTTCCCCTGCATAATAAAATTGGACTATCAGATCTACCCTGGATCTGCTGTTACTGCATGGATGCAATGCATGGAAGACTGACAGGTAGATTAGTGTAGCAATTCACTGCCAGAGGTACTTGTATCCCAGGGGATACTTCTGCAGTTGCCAGGGGGTATGTGGAAAGATTGTGGAGTAATTCAGCTAACATGAAAAAATAGAAACTATCATTTTGTTTAAAAAGGGAAATAAACACAAAAGCACCTTTACAAATTGGTGTGAGGTGATATGATCTTTATGATGATATGATCGACCTTTAATAATTAACCATGTGAAAAACATTTCATTTCAAGTCAGTTCAAACAAACAAATTTGTGAAGGGGCTTCTCTGAAGGAGATCAGATAAAGAAGGTTGGGAACTATTGGATTACTGAACCAGTACTAATGGAAACCAGGGTTAAAAAAGTGTCATTCTTAAAACAGATAATAATACCTAAAATGCAGTAACAAAACTGCAATATGAGTCCCCCACGATGGTTCTGACATTTATCTGCACAGACAGCGAGTAAAATTCACACTTAACTAAGCAACGACTTTGTCTAGAGCTATGGTCATT